AAAAAAAAAAGGGGAGAAATAATCGTACTGAGGCTGTATGATTAGGAAGGAGGCTTGGATTGGAGACCCGCAGTGGTATCTCCTACTGTGTCTGGTAGTGGTAAGGTTGGGGGTGGTGTAGCGTATTTTAGTGGAGTAGCTGGGTAGTGCAAAACAGGCCAGCATTCTGTTGCAATTAAAAGATAGGTGTATGTTTTATGTGAATTTTATGTCTTTTTTTTTATTTTACTCTTTGCCAAGTAATGTAAGTAACTGGTGTTTGCTCAGGTGATGAAATGTGGGTGTTGTAGAGAATTTGTCACTTTTGGGGGTTTTTTTGTGTTTTGTTTGTTTTAAAGGTCAGGCGGCATCATGAGTAAAAGAAGAGGGTTCCCCTTGGTGGATAACAATAATGAAAAACTTAATAGAAGAAAAATGAAAGCTATAAGGTGTGTGAATTTTGAGATTACTCTACTGGCCTTTAATATTTTCAAGTTCTGACAGTATAATAAAGAGGACATATTATTGAGGAAATGTAGAAAACAATGTTTGTATTCTGCAGTGTTGCAATTGTGTCCATTTTTGTGGGTTATGTATGTCTGCTGGTCGTGGAAAGTTCTAGCATTTGGAGTAGGTTCAGAGAAAAACATTTTAAATGTGTCTTGGGATGTTGACAAATAGTTATTAGGCTACCAATATCTTGTATTGGTCTGGATGTATGTTTTTTTAATAAAACACTGTTGATCTATTCAATATACTCTTAGTTAAATAACTATAGAATGAATATGATTAAAGTTTATTTTATAACAGTTTATTAATGCTGGTTCTAGTTACACTGATAGATAAAAGCTCCAGTACCATCTTTATGGATGATGAATTCAGTATCATAGAGGTAAATTGCTCCTCTTCCACTTAAAAGAGGGTAACAAAATTTTTGCATGTGTGGTGTGTGTTTCATTAATTGCACTTTCTAAATAGTGTTATTGGTTAAAAAGTGGGCAAGATTAGTTCAAAGAGAGCTGGAGGTCAGAATTCATGTTTGGTTGATACCCTAATGATCTTAAACCTTTACTTCTGCTTCTGAAGGCAATGTCTTAAGATACTAGAAGAGGATTTTACAGAACCAAATCAGAGAAAGCGTGATTTGTGTCATACATCTAAAGCTATGAGTGTGAAAGGTAAGGCTTTTGGATCTTGATTTTTATTTCCAGTAATTTGGTGGTGCGCAGTATTCACTGTTTATTTATATTTTATATGGTCTGTTAAAGACAATAGATGGGCTGCCAGGTTTGATTAACGCATTGTTTATTTACTACACTTCCTGTACTTAGCAAGAACAACCAATACCTTTCTCTTCGACTCCTGCCATATTTCTTGACAAAACTACTGGAAAGTTTGTTTTAAAAGAAACCTCAGTTTTATGGGATTTTCTGCTTTAGTATCTTTTTTTCCAAGAGTTGTAAAATTGTGTTGAGTACATAGTATTTATGGATACTTTATGAAATGCTTTTTTCCTGTGCTATAGGTACACATTTGAATGCATATTTTCTTTTGTCTTTTTTCCTTCCCTTTCATGTGTTTATCCTGTCCTGAACGTAGCAGCAATGTAATGCAGCTAATCATGCAGATTACACCCTAATCATTAACTACATTTTTGTAATTCCCAGGTAACATCCATATCTGTTTATCTGGACCTAGGTTCCTACTTTCAAATTCTCCCATTACAAAATTCAGTGTCCAAATTCCTATTGGCTTGATGGATACTGTGTAGAAGACTACACTGGTGATCCTGTATTTCTGTTTGTCTCGTTGATTAAGATGCCCTACAGTTAACAGCCTTTGCAGTCAAATGTTTCCTATGCTTGCTTTTACAGCCTTTCATGATGATGTGGAGGATGAAGACACTGATTTATTTGGTTTCCCTTCTACAGAAGTAAGTTGATCTAAAGCATTCTGTCAGTACTCACTGTGGTGGTCTGAAATTGTAGTATTACAGAATCTTTTGCATTTTCATTGAAAGTGATTACAGCAAGCTCAGATCCCCTCTGAGGCAGGGGCCTGCACTTTGTAACCACGTGCTCCCCAGCAAATCTTTGCTAGCATTTCTCATTGTGCAGTATGGCTGTGTAGTGCACACCTGATGGCCAAAGTCTGGTGTGTATGTACGTTTTTTAAGAAAAAGACGCAAAGGATTTTCTTAAAAAACAACTTAACTCTGCACAGTAGTGTATTACTTAAGAATATATTTCTATTTCTGCATTTAAAAAAAAATGCTCTGCTTGTGAATCTCTCCTGTGTTACAACATGCTAATACCATTTGTTTCACAGAAATCTCTGTTTTGGACAAATGTTAAGTGCTTTTTTATTTTTAATTTATGCAAAAGATAGGGTGTGGCCATTCTGGTTTTTCTGTTACAAAAATCAGATTTAGCCTTTATTGCAAAATAAATAAGGCGTGGAAATTAAGCCCTGACACTAAACTTTATTGAAAAAATAAGTTGTAATCAGGTTCACTAATGAAATACGTTAGAAATTTTGCATAATAGTGGGAATAATGCTAAGAGCACACAGGAAATCAGCATTGCTTTACTAGGAACACTTTAACACAAAGATATACTGATGGCTACCGAGCTTTGACTTCGATTTTTACACCTGTGGTTGTTCAATTCAACAGCACTTGCTTTGAAGCTTTGCCTCAATGAAATGAGGGGGTGGGCAGTATTGAAGTTACAGAACTTTTTTTACTGGGTCTTTGATTTAACCCTGTATCTGAACTTACTTTTTCCCTCTGAATTTAGACCAAAACTGATTTTAAACTTGGGCTATGCAGTGGCAACTCACAGAGGCTAGCAAGGTAAACCTTTATTAACTCTATGGTTTTTTATGTGTTTAGATGCCAGACTGGGGGACAACTTGACCAAGCAAGCATTTCCAGCTGTTTTTCTTGGGCTGATTGATTTTTATTTCTTTTTTTTAAAGTGTTCTTTAAACTTTATTAATGTATTCTCAGTATGGATGTCTAGTACTGTAGGAGCACAACTTGCTTGATGCTTTAGTGCAAATAACATCTAATTGAAAGGCAACAAGAAACAGAGAGAACTGAAAGTTTCAAGCACTGTGGTAACTGCCTGGTAAGGGTTTAGAGGGAGAGTAAAGAGCTGCTGAAGTGTCAGGTTGTGGTAGGAGGGACTGTAGGACTGAAGCACCTCTCTCCCCCTAACCCCCCTGCTTCTCCCATTGCACCTTCTGCTGAGATAACCAGTCACAGCTATAAAGATGAGATACCAGCAATGTTTTGTGGTATTGTCATATCTAAATTAATTATTTGTCTAGACCATGTGAACTTGAAGGAAGTCTTAAAGTGGCTGTCTAGCCCACACCACCATTGCTGTGGAGATTCATGTTCATACAAATGAGAATAGGCCCAGATAATTCTTTCAGATATGTTACATAACAGATCTGTATAGAACAGATCCCTTCTGTAAAGGAAGTAGAGGAAATGTATCTTCTGAGATGCACGTAGCTTGGATCGCTAACGTTACCCCAAGTAAAATGGAAACTCAAGCTTTCATGTATGGCTGTCAGTCTCTGCAGCAGTGTTCTCCAAGTCCTCTCACAGTCCATGAGAAGCAACACGCTGAGCACAGGAAGACCAACACAGTGCTTCCATCCTGTAACTGGCCTGGTTTATGCATGGTGTTTTTTGAGAGTCTTTACAGCTCTTTAGATCTATGTGTACTTTGCAGAAGAACAGGTATGGGTGGCCATGCAACATCATTTAAGATCCTTCCTAACAGGTTGTCAGTAGATGGTTTCAGTATAATCTGCCATGTATTCTGAAGATTTTAAGGGCCTAATCAATATCTGATGGGATATCTAAAAGAAAATACTTGGGCAACAAATGAAAAAATAATCCTGGAATGTTAATAGTAATAGTAATGCATTTTACTCTTACTCAGGGTAAAAATCAATACCACCTACTATGGTTTTGTTCAGCCTTGCCAAAATTGTCAGATGAAAAATAGTTACCAAAGATGAATTTTAAGATGATGCTGGTAGAAAGGAAACTTTTTGAAAAAGGATGTATCTGTAGTATATCACAGTGTCAGTTCTGCTCTTTCAAAAAATAGGTGCGTATGTATGTATTTAGTGACAGGTTTTGAAATGCTCAAATTGTGTCTAAAGTATTTGTGGGAAGTTTTGATAGTTTAAGGAGAAACCTACACATTTTAAGTAAAGTTTTGTTTTGCAGACCCTTCAGTCACAATACTAAAGAGAAAAATGTTCAGCACCCGGCTTCTTCAAATGGTGCGCTAAGGGATAAAGCAGCACTAGCTCCGTCAGCAGACACGGTGTGTTATTATGGAATTTCCTTGTATTCTCACTCATTATTTTTGTATATGCATAGTTAATACTGCACTTTTTAAAGCACAAAAACCTGCCGCCATAATAATTATATGCTATTATTCCATGTTACCATAGAATTGATGTGCAGCTACAGTGTTAATAAAATAACGTGACAAAATGAATGCAGCTCAAACCCAGCCAGATCATAGCTGAGGAGGGCTAGTGTATTCAGCTGGCTGTGAGACTATGTATTTTCAATTTAGTTTTTCTTAAGACACCTGAAGCTTCACGATATTTGGGTTTGCATCTTCTTCATTTTAAAATTTGAGACAGCTGCAAGGCTCATGCAACACGTTGTTATAGCAGTCATTCAGGGCAACAAGGTTGTTGGACACATGGATCTCTCTTGAAACATTCTATTAAGTTTTCTAACCTGATGTTTCTAAATGATTTTTTTGAAGTTTTAGGTCAAGTGAACCAATGTTTTGGTTATTTTAAAATGACAAAATGAAATGGAAATAAATAATGCATCCTGTGCCGGTACTGTTTTCTTTTATGGCAACTGTCCTGTACAGTTACTTTGAAAGAATCCTAACTTGCCAATGTGTGTTGTTGGCTTCGTAGGTAGTTTTGTTATAGTGCCCATTAAAGTTTGAAAATGGTTTTCTTTTGGGAACATTTTTTTGAAAAGTGTACTTAAAACAAAGCTATATCGTGTTATCTTAAACTTCACTGTATTACAGTTGACAAAATATTAAATGAAATACCCTGAGTTTATCTTTGAAGTCTCTTGAGCTTGAGGTTTTAAGTAATATTTTTATGGTAGTCCCCTCTTCTGTTGACAGAAGGTGGTTTGGTTTGGGTGTTTGTTGTTTGGGTTTTTTTTGAGAAAGTGGTTGAGAAGAAGCTTATGTGAAAACCCACTTTTGTTGACAACTTAGTCTAACTGCTACTTACTTTTGATTCTTAAGTTTTTTTCAGACTATTTTGTAGTTGGTGATTACTAAATCTTTGGCAGTGTCATTTCTTAAACAGCGTATGTGCATATCCATGTCTTTTGATTTTTGGAAGGATTTTTATTACTGCATTATTGATCATAATGAGAACCACGAGGTAGAGAGGGAGCACTGTAGTTCCATAACATTTTTACCTCGTAGTTGTCATAGGGAAGTATTCCTAACACAGTTAACATCCAGGTCATAATAGGAGGAGGGTTTTCTTCTTCTTTTCCTCTTTTCTTTTTCTTTCTTTCAAATATCTCAGATTGTGGACAGTGCTTCCTTTCACTTATGCCAGTGTCTATTTCAGATTTTTGATCTCTAAGCTTTAATTTCTCTAGTTTGTATTTGGTCTCCTCAACACTAGTGAGGAACCCTTTAGAAATTGGAGATGTTTACATGTCAGTTAAGTTGCGTTTTGGCAAGGTGAACTGGTTGCCTAATAGAGACAGACTTACATAGCAGCATCCCCAGCTGATGATCTCATTTTGTTTTTAGCAAAATACCAGCAGTCTAACCAGTACTCTTAACTCTAGCTTCAGTAGTGCCAGTGACAAAATAAGCTATTTCTGTATGAACACTTGCTTCTGTGCTGATTCATGTGCAAGTATTTTATTGTATTTTCTTGCATTAGCATAACACTGGAAGCTTACTACATTCTTTTTGTTGGTTTCACCAAGTGGTATTCCTAAATATGTTACTTTTTTCTAGGCTGCAGTATTCCCATTCTTCAGTCTTGCATGTTTTCTTTCCTCTGTATTAGTAAGTTTATTTTGCTTTTCGTTGACATACTACCTTTTCATTTGGTTTTTGTGTGTGTGGAAATAAATTGCATGTATCTAACAAACAAAATTTAGAATCCATGTTTCAGAAATACTACAGTGTAAATATGCTCAGTGTAATTCAGGTGAGCTCAGTGTTTTGGGCCTGTTTGCAGCTATAGAGCTGATCAGAGCCTTACACAGATCATAAAGTACCTCTTTGACAAAATGGCAAATGAATATAGCCCATCTTCCCTTCTAGTCATACAGGTGACTTTATATTCATTGGCAAATCTTTCCCCAGGACAGAAAAACTATGGAAGATATTGATGAAGCTTTGTGCGTAGCTATTTGTAACCTCAGTCATTTATATGATGCAGATGAGGTGGGTAAAAATAAGTTAAATAAATCATGAATTGTTAAATCCTGTTGTTGACTGAAGCTTTTTGTTTTAGGTAGTCACACATTAACATGTTATTTAAACATGCTTTTACTGCCTTCATTTTGACGTCTCTTTTGTCCTTCAACTGTTTGTGCTATTTCTGTGAATATACACCTTTAGACTCCAGGCTATAGTCTGGAGTTTACAAACTATAGGAGTAGTCTGTAAAGGAGTACATGAGCCTATGCATAATTTAAAGTTAATAGGTCAATCCATATATTTAGCAGAACCATATATAGGACAGTCTGTAAGTACTAAACTTCTGTTTCCCTGGATCCGGGTAAAATTCAGCATTTGTTTTTGCTCTAGCAGCTATGCTAACTTCATAGTTTTCACATGCCTTCTTATGGATTTAAAGGTGGAAAAGAAATTGTATAGGCAACAGAAGTAATAACGTTAACAGACACAGTATGCAAAACATGTAAATCAAGTAATGCATTTTTATGCACAGTAGAAAATAGAGGCAGAATCCTAAAATACTGAATAATGCTGTTAATAGGTTTTACTGAGTAACCTATGAACTTCATCAATGATTCCACGATTTTATTTAACTTATTAAATGTGCTGTGGAGAAGCTTGCAGTTCTGTCTTTGCCATTTATTTACGTTTTACATGTATTCTAAGATACCCAGGCACAGCAGTGTTTAATGATCCAAAAGCTTAAAGCCAATAAGCGTGGCATGAAGTGTTCTTAAAACCTGTTTTCCGTTCCCTTTCTAATTTGTTTTGTTGCAGTGGCCAATCTGTCAGTTAAGCAAAGTTATGTTAAATATCTGATTCATATACTAATAGCATCTTTAAAAACATACAATTTCAACAGCTCTAATGTATAATAATTCATGCGTATGACTGTGGTCTTCCAGCAGCTTTTCAACAAAGACTGAGAATTGTCAAAGCAGTGTTGCAGTACTGAGGGTTTTTTCTCACAGTCTCTTCATTACATGTAACTATGGCAACAAAACTGATACTTAGCTGGAGGAAGAATTTTGGGTTTTTTCCCTTTATGCTCACAGTGAGTTTAAAAAAAAAAAAAAAAACAGTAGGAATTTTAGCTTTCTAGATATCTGCGTATTGTGCTATATTAGAATGTCAGGTAAAGAAAGTGAGGCAGTGAGCCCGAAGTCTGTTTCTTGCCTTGTAGACCTAAAGACTTCAGTTGATGTGAGGATCCAGACAGTGTGAGCTGACTAGAATTTAGAGAAAACAAAGGGACTAATGAGCTGTAATTGGTTTAAGTGTCAATCTTTAGTGGTTTTAGTATCACTCTGCTGGAGTACTGATCACTGTCTTACTGTTCATTGCTTCTGTTCTGTATTTTAAAAAAAAAAAAGTGAGAATAGTGAAATAATAATAATGAAATAATAAATGCATTTTTATTCAATACTGAACTAAATAGATGCTGAAATACTTGGAATTGAAAGTGAAGCATGAAGGAGACAGAGTTGCAGAAACTGCAGATAGAACGTTTGATGAACTTATTACTTCTCTTCTCTCAAGGTAGTAATCTGGTTTGTAGGATGGCGGAGGCGAGTTACTTTTACCAAGAAGTTGTTTCTAAATCAGATAAAAGAATTCTAAATAAAATTTCAGTCTTCCTCGTAGCTGTACTTCATAATACCTGTCCTTAATTTTTGTGCAATATTTTTGCCCTTTCATAATGGCATCTTGGAGCTTGTTTGCATGGTTGGAAAACTAGCTTATGCAGCCTCTGCTCTTTAAAAAAAGAAAAAACTTAGTCTTAATGATGTTTGTTTTCTGAAATAGCTCAATTTTTGAGGGCTTTTTGATACTGTCATTAGTGGATGATCAGTTTAACAGCAGGAAAAAATTTTTAAAATTGACTTTCTGCAAATTTTCAGGCTGATAGACGCCCAAGGATACTTTATTTTTTCATTTCCAAAAATATTTGTATATTTAGATTTAAGAGGGGAGGGGTGTCAAAGCTTAGGATTCGTTTAGATTTAAGAGGGGAGGGGTGTCAATCCAGAAGAGTCTCTGAGAAGAGGATCGGATATGTTAATAGACTGAATTGTAAAATCCGACTGTTTTGTTTTCAGTTGGATGTGTATGGAAATACCAGGAGGCTTGAATGGAAGAGCACTTTAAACATTTGGTAAAAAAATATTTCTCCAAACAAAGTGGCTTTTCAGTGTGAACTCTTAACTTTTGTAGTTCCTGTGATAAGTAAGTGGGTTTTCCATGCTTTCCGCTTTTCACTGTTGGAGGAAAATGATATTTCTGTGTAAGATATTTTCTTTATATTGTTGTATAACTGAGTGCTTACTAGATTCTGAAAAGTAGTGTTTTTAATACAGGAAAAGGAAGTTGTGTACAGAATTAGTGAAGAGCATCGACCACTACAGTGCTGGTATTGCAAAAGCTAAGGAAGTCATTGAAGAGAAGAAAAAGTGCTTGATTGGTGTCATTAGGATTGCAAAGGAATTAAAAATTACACCTTCTGTAAGAGCCTATTGTGATCTTGCTCAGGTACTTACGTTCTTGCACTGTGAAATAATTTATTTTGAATTAATACATTCAGATTTGGATTGGAAGTCTGTGATCTGTCTTTAAGTTTGCTGACTTCAGTATTGAGATTTTTGCATTAATGTATTCTTACCCCACCTCTACATGCGCACAGCCAGTTTATACTTGGTCTTCATCGCCAATTAGGGTCTGGTGACTGTGAAACAAAAAAGGTGATTCTTGCCTTGAAGAGCTTGCTATCTGAAATGGCCAATGGAGAGGGAGGACAGGAAAACTGACAGAGTACTCGTCAGGGAAAGGGCAGTGTTGGCAGCACTTCAGAAGTCTCTCAAGCCTTTCCCATTCCAGAGCTCTCCAACCTTCTCACTGAACTACTCCAGAATTAATAGCCATGCTCTCCATATCCTCTTGGTCTCAGGCCTTTACTTCCATTCTTCCTTCTCATCATGTCTGCTGTTCATAGAAACAGCATAGCAGGTAGTATGTGTATCAGACCAAAGGTTTATCCTGTGATGTCTCCTGTCTCCGATAACAGAGAGGAAAAGATGCTTGGAGGAAAAAAATCTAAGAACCTGGGTATTTAGTGAGTGTAGGAAGTTGAAGGTTAAGGATTTCATAATCTGTAGAATACATCAGGGTCACTACACTAAGTAAACATTACCTCACTGTCGTAATCTTGTGTAACACTTCTTGAATGTCTTCATAATGCTTTTGGCAGTATGTATGTGTGTGTACATGTGTATATTATGGGTATGTATTCGTATGCAGCAGCAGTGAGCTCCATGTTTTAATATTTAAAATGAGGTTAAAATAGCTACCTTTGTTCTTTCTAAAACTGCTACCCAGTTATTTCATTTGGAGCCTTGGTAGCATGGAGAAAAATTATGAATAACTGGTCTCATCATTTTTTGAAGTGTGATTTTTAGACTGTCTTGTTCCTTGCATCTAGTTGTCACTTTCCATGTGAAGAAACTTAGTCTTTCTCATCTGACCCATGAAAGAAGTCTGATCCCTGCATTTTTTTAAGGCATTTGCAGCCATCTTACCCAGTGTGACCTTTGGGAGATGGCACTCACCACTGTCTTCCCATAGGCCTTCTTACTTAGAAGTTACCTTCTCAGCAGCTGTTCGTACAAAAGGAAAATCTGACTTCTGCTTCTGTGTACATGCTAACATTACAAAATCCCCAACCATTAGGTCTTAGCAATGTCAGAAGACATAATTGAGAATTGACTATTGGCTGTTAATGAGCAAACTCTTGAGGTTTTTTTCTGTAAAATTAAAGGTGTCATACTCTGGCTTTGTCATGTTGTAGATAATAGGTGCCTGTATAATCTGCTTTTGGTGTAATAGAAGCTAAGCCTGTACTTCTTAATTTCAGGTTGTGTATAATTTGAAGTTGCCAGTTGAGGCTGAGCTCTCAAGAGTGAATCGTTTGAAGGAAAAAATAACTCCAAGGTAAATGACTGGAGTGGGAGGTATATTTGGAGGTAAATGCATGGGATGTTTATCTTAATTACAAAAACTGTTCATATAACAGCAGAAATTGAGCTGCTTTGCTTGCGTGTTACTGAAAAACTGCTAGTTCAGATGTATATAAACTCAACACTAACGATGCAGAGTAGCCTTCATCTGAGGCATCAGGGAGAAAGCACTTACAGTTTCCTGATACATAAACAGATACATACTCATTTAAAAAATTCTTGACAGACTTCTACTTTTAAATTTACTCTCCTTCTCCTATAAGTAGAAATTAATTGGGGAAATATTTAAAAAAAAAAAAACAAACTGTTTCTCACCTTCAGGAACAACTTAAGTGCATTTTAGGGCAGTGATGTCTAAAGAAATTTGTGAAAAATCCCAGTTACCATGTTGCACTCATTGGAAGTGACAAATATGATTTCTATACCAGAAATGAGCAAGAAAATGTATCATGGCTATGGTACAGCTGACCCTATGCAACTTGGTCATAAGGCTGGTCAAAGTACTGTAATCCTAGTGCGTAAAGGCCACATTCAGGAACGATGAAGGAGGAACAGAACAAAGATGGTATTAGGTTAGAACATATTGGGGATCCCATATATTTCAGGACATGGAACCGCTCCAGGTGATGAGTGGTTGTGTGCCATCACGTTCTGACTGGCACAGAGGAATGAAGCTCAAAGTTGATTATTTACATGAAAAGTGTGAAACATTATCATGGGACCATTTAGGGTGCAAAAGACTCGTAAGATCATTGAGTCCAACCATTAATCTAATACTACCGAGTCCACCACTAAACCATGTCCCTAAGTGTGCTGTCTATGTGTCTCTTAAATACCTCCAGGGAGAGTGACTCAACCACTTCCCTGGGCAGTGTGTTCCAGTGCTTGGCAAAAATTATGATTCCTCTGTCATACGTCAGTTGAGGCATTAGAATATGGATAAAGAAATCTTTAAAATAATCTTCTGGTAAACTTGGTGACTTGGTAGGTAGGGCCTGTTTTGTAGATAATGTCGGTGAATGAGAATTTCAGAGAAGCCTATTTAAACGCACAGTGGCAAACTCCCAACCTCGAAGAAAGCTAAAATATGACAAGATGAAATTCGTTTTGCATTGAAAGACCTTTTAAGAACTTGAACAAAACAGAGGAAAAAAAGAGATCTGATGAAGGATGAGTATAAAGGTCTCACATGCTGGTGCCACTCCAAAATAACACCAAAGGTGGAAAAAAAATCTCAGCTAGGGGGTGTGTGAGAGTTAAGATGCATTCTGTAGACCTAAAATGCTGTAGAGCAAAGGGTAGGAACATTGCTGAAGGGCTGGAGGGTAGGGGGAAGAAAAGATTACTGCTTACATGATTTTTGCAAGTTGTTCATTGTAACTGGATAGCAAAGCTAAGGATTTGATTGAAGGAAGTGAAATTTACAGTTCTGTTAGCCTAACTGTAAAAGTACTTACAGGATTTTGCTAGCTTTCATCAGTAAAGGAAACAGCTGTTTATTAGTGCAACTATAAGCAGAACAAAAAGAACATACATTTTGGACTTCAGTTACAGTTTTGTTCTTCAGGACTGTGGGAGAATTCTTTTTCTCTGTGCAAAATAATGTATTGAACTAAATGGGGTATAGGTATGAAAACTTGGTAAGTGAATGCTGGAGTACTCTGTGTGAGAGAGAGAAAGCAAAAGTCAAGAGAGTTTTTGAGTGTGAAGATAAAGAACCAAATCTGTTGTTTATAGGAGTGAAAGAATGGAACTGGAGTAGGTAATTAATCTCTTATTTTTGCCCCGCCATTAATGTTGTGCTGAAAAACACTGTACATCTCAAACTGTCAGGAGTGATTTTGGGTATTTGTGGCAGCTTCTGTAATGCTGCTTCTCTTCTCTCGAGATTCTACCTAAACATTGATGAGATTACCTCTTTGTTAAACAATTTGGGCAAGATCGAATGGGGAACAACAAGGCAGTAAGTATTTTTTTAATAAAGAGGATAGGTACAGTAACTTACCTGTTCTTTTAATGGTTAAATTTATTGGAGATTAAATTTAAAAAAAAAAAAACTGTATATGCATATGGGTTTCTAAGAGTATAATGAAACAAAGCAAAATGTCAGATGCTGGTATTTCAATCAGCATTCCAATTCATCCAGTTAGTGTTTCAGTTATGACATTTCAGATTTACTTGTTTCACCCAATTATATTTCACTGTATCAGTTATGTTATCAAGATTTTCTTATGCTGTATGTTTCTTCAGCTTTGGCTGGCATTTAGTGATACAATAGAGATGTCTATCACTTCAGCATATGAAAATTACTTAATATAAGTGTAAATAATTCTCTCAAATCAACAGCAAATACTGAAATTTATAGTATTTCCACTTTGCAGTCTAAATACTGATTACATCAAGTGCCAAAAGAATTTACTTAAGATTAACTTAAACCAGGACAAACCTGACTTTTATTTTAAAAATTACAGTTGCTTTTATTTTATTAGTCCCCTTTACTTTTCCCCATAGCCTTTGACAAAAACTTGAGAAAATGGAATGGAGTTGCTGTTATGCCCGTTGTAGTTAGCACTGGTTACGTTAAAGACATATTGCATAATGGAATATTTAAGAATTCTGCAGATTACGATGAAGAGTAACTATTAGTGCAAAAGCATCTGACATGTCTTTTGTTTTTAATGTGAAGTATCTATCACATTATTAATATTTTTTTTCCAAATTTGTCTTCATAACTGTGGTCTCTGATCATTTAAGCAGAGGTAGCTCTTGTTTGTACTGAGCTGTGCTCAAGAATATGTGGCATTTCTCTGCCAATCCTTTTTACGTTTCAGAAATCATGTTACTGGTTTTGTTGTCTTGGTATTAAAAAACGTAATACAGTTAATTTCGACCAGCTCTTACGAGGTGCTTTCTTAACATAGTGATATGCTCTTAATAAAACCTCTGCTTTGCCTTGTGTGCTTTTCTGAAAACAAGCTGGATTATATTAATTTGTCTCCAAATAAATGTTTTTCCGAATATAGTGAAGATAATGGACAACACACTCTTATCCGTGATGAAGAAATGCCAGGCCGTGATACTCAATCGCCTGCAGAGAATATGTTTCCAGCACCTGGCAGAGAAATTAAAATAAAGGCTCTTGCAAATAAACTTGGTGTTCCCAAAGAAGTGAAAAATACTCAAGTAGAGGAAACACTTCCTATGATACGTCATCACAGTATTCCTGCTCTGCCCAAGTCTCCATCCAGTCCTGATGTCATAATAGAAGAAATATTTGAAGATGATCTGGAAAGCAAGTTTCTTAATACTTGATGCTTTCAGTGTTCCATTGTTAAGCATGATGTTATTTATGTGTTTTGTATTAAGTTGTCTGTAGTTATTCTCAGTTCATATGAATTCTTTAATGATATCTGTATTTCACTTTTATCTTCGTCTGAACTAGCATTGTTTCTTTTTTGTCCTCCTTCAGCTTAGCTTAGTGAAAACTTTCTCACAAGTTCTCTCAAAGAGGGGTGATGAGTTCCTGTGTCTGCCTGGATGATGTCTATGTGACTCTTAGTTATTACAGTCCTCCTCAGAGTTGGTGACAGCTGGCTCCTGGAAGATGCTTTTCTGGCAGTTCCCTTGGCTTCCTGCATCTTCTCCCAGGGCATTGTTCTATGTTTACTGGCAGTAACAATTAGCTTCTTCAGCTTGGCAGGTTTTCCCTGAGCTGTATTAGTAAGAATGTAACTAACAGGTCCCGGAAGTGAACCTTCTCCTCTGTTAAGCTCTTGTGAGACTGGATGTTGAGTAATGTGTCCAGTTTTTGGACGCTGCAGTGCTAAAAGTCACCATCACAGTGGATTGAGTCCAGCAGAGCCTACCAAGCTGGTATGTGGGAGGTGCTCAGGGACAGAGCTGAAGGCATTAGGAACAAGTTGGAATATAGAAATTCCAATGAGATAATAGATAGATGCGTTCCACAGTATAATTAAGATGCTTGAGGGTGTTGTATGTCCACAACATACCTAGGAAGTCCCTATGATTAGTAATGCTTGGGAAGGTTGAGGGAAAAGATAGGGGTGGTATGTGAGAGTAATTGCGGTAGCACATAGCTGGGATCAAAGTGAAGTAAATTTCAGAGCTTGGGCATGGCTGTCGAAAGTAGTGTATTCCAGAATCCCAGTGGACTTCACGAAGCTCATCAGAACAATATTCCTTCAACCCGCAATGTTATATGAGTTTTGCATGTCTTGAATCTGAGAATTTTAATGCTAATTTTGTAATCTTGAAATTAGCATGTTGGCTGGCCATGTGCATGTAGTCACTGTGTGTGCATCTGTTGCAGTTGCATCAGATAGGAAAACTTTTGCCTTTGCAATACCCTTGCAATGGATGTAATTTCTCTTTACTGTTTTTGCTGCTTTACTACATATGTACACTAAACTAATCTAATTCATTAAACTTTCTTCCTAAAATGATAAACAGTGTTTCCCACAGAATATCATACTGATGAACAGAGGAAGAAACTCTTCAAGAAGGAAAAACCTTTTCAGCACAAAGCTGGTTAGTTGTTTTCCTATCTGGTAAATGGTTTAGTTTATTAGAAGAGACCCATCCTCTAGGCAGCGAGAGCAGACACTAAAATTTGTTGGAGAGCTGGGACATACACGTTAGCATTCCAGTTGAGATCAGGAATGTACTAGGAAGCAGATCTCCTGACTGTCCCTAGTTACCATGTATTTGATCACATGTAAGAGTAGACTTTGTGCACGTGAATTGATTCCCTTCCAGTTAAAACTAGTCTGGGAGGTGCTTACAGTGCAGATGTCATTCTTAGCACCAGCAGTTTTGCTCTGCAAAAGCACTCTCTGGTCTGATCTTGCTAATGTAAAGACTATACCGTCTTTTAAGATTTGCCATAAAACCTCTTAGTTGGAAGATGCAATAAAGGAAGTCCCAAACAAATTTCAGAAACTCAATGCTGGCAGTGTTTCTCAACACCTGGCAGATGTTTGACACAATGGTAGCACTGCTTGCTGTGAACAGTGGCAGCTGTTTCTTAGGTCAGTCATTAATGTTCTGAACTCTGAACCGTTGCCTTGTTCTCCCTCCACCTATGTTTGGTTTTCTGAATTATGACTAAACAGATAAAATGTACAAAAGAGAGTAATTTGAGGAAATAAGATACCTCATTAAAAAATTCTGTAGTTGCAGTTTGTGCAGTTCTTTGAGCTTTGTTCATTGTTGAGTATAAATGGTAACAAAAGTTGAAGAGTAGAGATCACAATATTGGGAAAGAAAAGAACTGACCTAAAGTTGACAGAGGAAGAAGCACTGCTGTGAAAAGATATGCTTTAATCTAGAACACAAAATATTAGTGAAGAAGAACGATTAAGGAAATTTCTTTTTTTGGTTGGTTGATTTTGTTTGGGGATTTTTTCTTGTGGGTTGTTTGTTGTTTTTTTTTAACCTCAGAGTCACATAAATGCACTCTCCTCTGACAATTTCCTGTCCCATTAACTCATTAATTCACTGGCTGCTCTTAATGAGTCTTGACAGAGTATTAGGGAATTTGAGCAGTTTAAGTCCATAACAAATTCTGTGGAAGTAAGCAGTTAATAAAGAAATTCTACTGATGCCCATACCAAAGTTAGTGTAGTGTGCGCTCACCCTTTTTTTTAGACATCAGAGAATTCTCATGGAGAAATACGTGATGTTAGAGTGTTACCAGACACTTAATTTGAGTATCTCACATGTCCACTAGGAGAATAAGATCGTAAGAGGTGAAATGATCACCTCTTAATGTGATAAATGTAATGGAATCACATTTAAAATTTAGTAATATGCTAAAATATGCCTTTTGTGCAATACCGGATCTTTTTGGATTATGGGAAGCATAATTTGAAGTTTGATACTTGAAGTTTTTTATTCTCTTATGCTAATAGGGATAGTTATCAGACAAATACTATTTGATAAATATTTTAAATCCTTTTCAGGCAGCTGTGGTTTGTTGGGATTTTTTGTTTGCTTTTGGTTTAAGGAATATACTCAAACATCTTAAAGATGTCACTTCTGGATCCATCTGGCTCCAGTGATCCATAACTGTCCCAGCTCCTGTTACTGTTTTTGGCTGGAGGTATCAGCCTCCGCTGATCTAGTGAAGTGACTGTTACTACATGCTTCTCCTGCTCTACTTAAGCTAGCTGACTCATCGCATCATTGGAGATGATGACTGGGGTGATCCAGAAGAGTTAGTGTACCTGTAGCTGAAATGTTTCAAGTCGTTCGTACTTTTTAGTCAGATACCACCTTTTCCACTGGAAATGCCCAAGAGTAATCTTGCACCTGTTCTGGATGCTGTATTTCCTAAACTTCCAAGCACAGTCCTGCGTACATGCTCAGAATGTTTCAAATGCCAGATTCTTAGTACCATCGTTTGCCCGTGATCAGTTATAGTTCAGACATGGGCACAGAAATGTCACTGCTCTGGGATGCTGCAAATCTGTCTGTCTGCTGTGCCCTGAATGCAGGTGGTATTTGATCTAGATGATGCTATACACTCTCTGCAGGAAGTTTTGTGCTGTAAAAATACTCTTGTAGGAATTGAGTTGCTGGGCTTCTGTAACCTTCTGACCCATTCACCACCTTTAGCTTCAGCGAGTAGCTTCAGAAAGAGAAACCTGCATTTTGGATCCCAAATCAAGGGATGTACCTGCAGGTAGGATCCTGTACAAAGGATTTAGATGCTTAGTCAGAAGTATTGTCTTATATAAGACATCTCCTGGCTAGCTTTAGGCTGGTGCTTGATCTTCGTGCATCACTGAATAACTGTACAGAAGTGCTTAGCATACCTGTTCTTTGAGGTAGGAGTCCTAACCTCTCTAATTTGCTTTCTAGAAGCTTCCTATTTCTCTGTTAAATAGAGGAAATACAAACTCTGAATTATCTACTTAAATTTAGGCTACCACTTTGCAAGCAGTAAGACAGCCCTTTGTTTTGCAGTGTAGCTTAAGGGAGGTAGTTTAAAAGCAGATTTAATTATAAAGCAAACATGGTAACTAGTTTGAAAAAAGTGTGAGCAAAATTGTCAGATTAAAAGCTATTTGAGGTAATGTTATCATGATTAATGCAACATAAACCCAATCATGTGTCTAATAATAGACAATAATAAAAGTTGGAGTCTCTTGGAGAGTGACTGATAATCTGTTTTATGTCTTACTCAGGTTCGACAGAACTAGTGTTTGTAAGCCATGTTATAAATCCATGCCACTTCTATATTCGGAGATACTCACAGAAGAAAGAAGCTGGGCTTTTGGAGAAGAAATTGGAAAACTTTTGTTGCAATAAGAGTTCATATCTCTTGCCTTCAGATGTTTTGGAACTAGGTAAATTATTAATTTCTAAAGGTGTACATTAGCTTAAAATACTGTTTTGCAGCATGTTTTCTTAGGTTTTGTGTGGTTGGGTTTTTTCCCTCCCTCCCCCACCCCTTTACATAGTAAAGCCGTGCTTGTATGTCCTGGTATCTACAATGCTTTTTGGAAATGTTGTATGCGTTGTTCAGTAAAGTAGACTTTTATTAAATCATATAAACGAGAACGGCGGAAGTAAAAAAGACTCTGCAGTTCTTCTCAGCCTCAACAAATTGAGTGCTTAGAACAACCAGCAGTTGAAACACCTGGCTGTAAACTTACTGTTTTCCAACATTAGGTGGTAATTATTAAATGATAGTTCTTTTTTTCAGTATACTATTTTAATGAGGAGCCTAGTGCTTTTATTACTTCAGTAAATCAGCTGTCTCGCATGCAAGCAATATTTGCTTTGAGTTGGATATATGATTTTTTTTTGAAGTTCACTAACTAGATAGAAACCATTCTGGAAGTAAAACTGAAAGACAATAATGCATTGCTAGCTCATTAAAATTATTTTCTAGACCACACATTGAATATGTTACTCCCTTCTAGAAGGTGCTTAGAAAGCTGGTAAAAAGTATGTAATAGACCTCAACTTCAGTGGTTTTTTTGCCACTTTACTAAGTACAGAAAGTTTGCCAGAAATTACTACTTAATTGAAGCCTAACACCTCCTGTCCTTGCAGACATTGTGTAAATGAGTGTGGGGAGAAAACTTCTGGTGGCTGTCAATACAATGTTTTTAATGTCTTTATTTTAGCAGTAGCACTCTTACTACCTGTGTGGGAGACAGACAACAATGGAAAATTACAGAGAACTGTAGTAATGCTTCCAGTGTGAAATAGCTACAAATACTGAATTTAGTCTTTCTTTTTTTATTTGCTTCTGTATAGGTGCTAGAATTTTTATTAAGAGTAAGGAAACTGGAATGTGGTGCCGTGGAACTATCACTGAACTAATTCCCCTAAAAAGTCAAAATGAAAGGAAGCCTTGTGGTCCAATAGGATACAAAGTTTGTGATATTGCACTGCTGGAAGTTTTCCTGATAGATTTTGGGAGCTCTGTAGTCCTAATTTTCTCAGGGTATGTTTACAGAGAGAGTTTTTTGTCTGCAATTGTTGTCCTTGACTGTTGTTACTCAAGATGATCTCTACTAAGAAACAAGTCCTCCATGAGCTTCGCACAAGCAGATAACCAGATATCCAAATGACACTAATGTTCTGTACGTACGTATTTCCCACAAGAAAAGTGGCACTGTATGTAAGTACGCAAATAAACAAGCCTTCATACCTTAAAATGTTTAACTGAGACTTCCATTGCGAAAGAGAATGTGAGTCTTCCATGTTTAAAAAAAATGCATTTCACTGAGACTTTCTAGTTTTGTTTCAATTACATGACATTATGCCTATTATTGCAATAATGGCCTTTATTTTAAGTCTGAAATTTGGTTTGGGGGTGTTTTGATGTTGAGGTTTTTTTGCTTTTCTTTTAAGTTTGTACTGCTTTTATTCCCATTGACAATAGATACATTCCTGCTGAAAGGCCTGAACCTGCTACTCTGCAGACTATTGAAACCGATGACATTTGTTTGTTTGTAAGGAAGCCTGATCAGCATATTGAGGCAGAACTTGCATCTGTTCCTCCTTTAGCAGTATGCTGTTCATTGAAGGATGTTGTTCCCAGAAATGCAGTAAGTAAAAACTGTTTGTACAATTTCAGATATTTTTTTTTCTGCCTAAGATTTATATTAAAGAACTTAAGATCGTTGTAAAATATGTATTTATTCCGGTATAAACAGAAGGAAACTCAAGAGGAGTACAGGGTATATTTTATTTTTTTAAAAAGGTAAATAATCTGTTGTAAAAAGATGAGTTGCATTGCTTTCATTGGAAGGAAAACAAGCTTATAGCAGTCTGTCTTAAAAAGCCTCTACATTTACAAATACATCTTCCAGGCTTAAATCTCAGTGCTCTTACTCTAGATATGTTCTTTTGTCAAATTTAAAAACAAATTACAGAACTGATACTCTTTATTTCATGTCTGCCTGATAACTTTATGCAAATAGTAACTTTCAAAAATCATCCAGAGGAGAAATGACTTCAGAATTTTTAAGAGACTCTTTTCAGAGATTGTCCTTTGTTACTTAAAATTTTTTGCCACATATTGAAAAGTGTTAGTTGTTCTCTTTCAGTATAACAACAAATAAAGTACTGACAGCTTTTATCCCCTTGAAAAATTACATATGTTGCAGCATTATTTTCTTCATTATTCACTTATTTATTAGGCGTTCTCTATTTTTGCCACATTGACGTGGGAATGAACGATGTTCAATGCAGCTGTGTGTTTCTGACAGAACAACTGCTGGTTGGTGTTGTTTTGTTTTGTTTTTTTTCCAGTCTGATGTTGTCTGAAATAGCTTTAAATAGGAAAGATCTGAAACAATTTTCACAGGTGTGGCTAAAATGTCTTACTGATATGTGCTTTCATTTTTTTCACACCTAAAAAGCACATATTTGCAGTATCAAATAAGAAATGCATTAACTTGATCCAAGAGAGATAAATTCAGACAGGCTTTTTCAAGGTAGATAAAACCTCAAGAAGGATGTTGTGGAGAGGAGGAATGTGTAAATTGACCAAACGATGTTGTATATTTGTATAAAGACAGAAAAAGATAAGACTAAACTTTCAGACTATTTGGGAGAGCAGAAATGTAAGTCATGAGATAAAATGGCATATGACAATTCTGGTTTACTTACTGGAACAATCACAGGGGATTAAATCTTGAATCTTCAAAAGAAACATGGTGGAAACTGCAGCCCTTTGATCTGACTCAGTTTTATACAGTTAAAAACGCTTAACTCCATCATAAAAGAATAGTGTTTAGTGCCGTCCTGGCTATGGACTAGACAGTAACTGTGTTGCGTATTTCATCTGTTCAGATGCATGATTCCTTGCTTTTTTTGCTTTTTTTTTTTCAATTACTACTTGTATTTTTTGTTTTAACATTCTCTTACATCTTCAGTAACTTCTTTTTTCTTTCTAACACAGAGTGAAGGTTGGGGAGAGGAAGCAAAGACAAAATTTTTAGGAATGGTCAACAATAAAGTTGTTTTAATGACCATATTTAGAGAAGAGGATGGTGTTCTCATTGTGGATTTGAAAAAACCTCCATTTAATAAAATAAGCAATAACATGCCAGTGTCTCTCAAGGATGCATTAGTTTTTTTAGACTTGGCAAGGTATGTGTTTTCCTTTAGTTGCTGGTCTTATGCCATAAATGATAACAGCATAATACTTCTCAAGTGAAGTTTACCAAGCAAGTTGTTTTTGTGGTGTTTGATATATTAATGTGATGTGCTCATCTTCAGCAATTTCTATTTATTTCCTTTTTTTCACCTTCACTAATAAGCTCTGTGGCATACTCATTTGCACTAGTCAAGGCTTTATTTGGATAATGAAATTTATTTTAGTAAATGACAAAATTTAGATTGCTGTACAAGTTTGAATAACAAGGGGTGAAAGGAGAAGCCCTTAATATCTACCGCGGGCAGAAAAACATGCCGAATCAGCCTTGTATCTGGTTTGGCTGGTAGGCTGTGACAGGCTAGTCGGCACATTTCAACTAGCCACGTGATGTGAGGCGTATAGCACAACAAATAGGAGAAACAATGATAGGGCATGAGGGGGAGCTTGATGTTGGCGTTAGGTCAGAGGAAGCTGCTTTGGAGGGTCCAGTGGGAGAGGCAGGACATAGGGAACATGAGTGTTTGGGTACAGGGATATAGCATGCAAATCTGTAGGAAGTTATAGTTCTTTTTGCTGCACACAGAGAAAGATCTTTGTTTATATTTGAGCGTAACTAGTTAGGGTCGTGAGAACAGTGGGAGATAAGTTTTTTACTGCATCTGTGTTCCTCAGGTAATTGCTTTTTTAGGAATAGGAAAAGGAACGCTTACTCTTTAGGAATAGGAAAAGGAAACCTAAAAGAAAAAGGTTTTGTCAATGTAGTGCATTCTAGCCTTTAACTTTTTTTTTTTTTTAACAATTTAAACGTATGCTACTGTGTCTTAAATAGCAAAATCTTTTTAGGAGCCAGCTGCCATAGATCATTCTTTGTATGTTATATTTGTGACAGGAGCATTAGTAAGAATTTGCTGGACCAAGTGCAAGAAGGAAAGTTCAAGCTATTTGTACAAACATGAATCAAGTTATTTTTATAAGACCGTTTTGCGTTTTTCATGGGAAACTTGACATTTGAATATAAAAGGTTTCCTTCTCAGTAAATTTTGACAGTTTATTCAAATTTTCATTTTGTTTATCTTAGGTTTAGATCACAGCTTCCCAGTCAGTTGGAAAATAATACCGTCTTGCAGTATAGTCCACCTAAGATTCCACAAGAAAGAGAAGAAGTCTCTGTTGTAGTTTGTCACATTAATAGTCCAAGTGATTTCTATCTCCAGTTGGTAAGTTTAGAAATAAGGTCTACTTAATAAAACCGAGCAAACATTTTAATGCTGAGCTACTTGTAGTCTACACTAAGGTGCAGATTGCCCAGGGGAGTTGTGGATGCCCCATCCCTGGAAGTGTTCAAGGCCAGGCTGGATGGGGCTTTGAGCAACCTGGTCTAGTGGAAGGTGTCACTGCCCATGGCAGGGGGGTTGCAACTAGGTGATCTTTAAGGTGTCTTCCAACCTAAACCATTCTATGATTCTATGAAATAAGCTATGATTTCTGTTAACTTCTGTCACTTGTTACCAGTTTTAGGATTCCTTGAATAAATAGATTGATTCCTACTGATGAATAGATTGATCCTAGATTAATCCTAGATTAACTCCAGGAGTTCTTAGAATTCCAGAAAGTTAACTTTTTTTTGTCAGTTCTGTTACATGGCTAATTCCTCTATGGGTATATAGTGTTTTACTGTTTAGAGGGGTGATTGGACAGAGCAATATTCAACAATTATTAGGCTCTTTAATTCACTTCCTGTATTCACAACCCTGGTTTAATTTAGGGGTGAAGACTAGGAAGTACACTACTAGAAAAAATGTCCCTTAAAAGAGCAAAAATACCATTTAAAAAAAAAAAAAAAGAACAGCTGATGTGTATGTATGTGTGTGGTTTTTGGTTTTTTTTTTCTCATTGTAGAGCGATAGCCTGGATTCTTTTGCTCTTTCAAAGAAAATTCAGGAGGTATATAAACATGAGCGTGGGAAAAACTTGGCAATTGTTTGCCCAGTTGAAGGCCAAGCCTGTATTGCAAAACAGGAAGATGAGAATTGGTACAGAGCGCAGATTATAGGTGAAGTATTGATTCTTTCAGTCTGATGCTAGGTTGCAAAATCAGGTATGGTACTAGATCAGAGTCCTACACTGGATATGAATAGTAACAAACATCCATTATTTTTACTAGGCATTCTTAAAGTAACAGGTAGGTTCATAAAGTCAATAGAACTAATTCATGTTATATTCTTTTGCTATTAATGGAGTGTTTTATACATCTCTTTTTTTTTTAATAGAGAAGTGGTATACTTCGTTTTTCTATGTGTTATTGAAGTACTACTATCTAATGATTTTAATTAGCGTTTCACCTACTATTACAGTTTGAACTACAGATTTGTCTATTATAGCCAACCTCTGAGTGTAACTAGTATGGGTTAATAATTCCCTATAGTAATTCTGAAGGAGGTTGGGGGTGACTTCTGTGTTGCCTGCATGGGTAGTTGTAGCATGCCTGTACGCTGACATGTCTACTTGGCGTGTATTTAATGTGTCAGTGTCTCATAAAGTGATTAGATTGAAGGGGACAAAAATGCTAACTCCATCATTTCAGGAACCCAAAAGAGCCGTCTTTTAAAGAGTATAGTTTTTTAATTGAGTTATAGAACATTTGGAAACGTGGTTTATTATGATTATATGGTGTAGATCTGGATTTTGCTCTGATATTCTGGTACTTGAACCTGTATCAGATACTCATTTTTTGTTTTAATAACTTGAGGTGTTTTTCTTGAAGGGCTGCCAAGTCATAAGGAAGTTACAGTGAAATATGTCGATTTTGGCAATGTTGCCAACTTAACTCTTAACAACATACGCAGAATAAAGAAGGAGTTTCTGAGCTTTCCAGAAAAGGTAAATTAGTGCTTGCCTGGATTAAGTACTCAAAATTAATCTTGATGGATGGAAGGGGAAAGAGAGGGTTGTTAACTTTCTGAAGCAAGTAAAATGTAAAGCAAGTTCCTTTTCACAGGGGTTTATAATTTGACTTATTTAATGATTTGGGTGCACACTGAAAAGTCTTTAATTTTATTTTTTTTTAATATCATTCGGTTTTAAATGAAACTTACTGTTCCCTTGCAGTGAGGAGATATATATACCGTGTGTGTCTGTGTGTGTGTGTGTAATTCAAATACCTTCTTTTACGCCATAATAAGCTGAATTAATTTTTACATTCTTTAATTTTCAAATGATGATCTAATAATGGTCTTTTTAAAAAATTATATTTTTGTTTGTTTTAAACAATTTAAAGTTCGGTGCATTCCTAACTTTAGGTATTGCAGGAGTTTGCCCCTTCTGACAAGGAGAAAAACTGAGTGGGAAAGGACATAGCAAAGTATTTCTGTTAAATAAAAAACACACATAAGTAGAAAATAATTCTTTTTCTTCAGCTTGTCATTTGATAGTTCTGGTTGCCAACCATAATTATGCTAAACTTCTTAAACCTTCATGTGTTGATAAGGGTTTTTTAACCAGTTGCAGGCACCAGAAGTAATGATTGTTGTAACTAAGCTTGGCCAGCATCTTTTACTGAAAAAAGGATTTAATTGTTTATATTTTGAGCAGATGTTTCTGGGGAAAGCTTCAGCCAAAATAACTGAGCCTTTTTTGACACCAAGGGAGAGGAGACGTTCTGAAAATGGCAAAATATTCTTGCAGTTGCAATGTCTTAGTGCTTCAGATCAGAGCAGCTAATGAATAAGGATGTTGGGATTTTTTATGTGTTTTATCCCATTGTTCCAACTGATTGCTTGTTAATGACCAAATATAAATGCTAAGAAATATCTGTTAAGAGTTTGTTAGCTCTTGACCACATACCACCAGGCCTCCTCACTTTGATCACAACGGCGAAAGGGTTTAGTTACAGGTACAGATGGGGATGTGACCACTAGAGAATGCTCTAATAAAAACTTGAACCCATCAGTTATTCCCAAATTTTGGTATTCTTATGCCTTATATAGGTTATGGTGAAACATTCTGGCAAGGTGTTTGTACTTGAAGTTTGAGTAAGAAATAACACCTTCCTGTCGCTATTAGTTTTAATGCAATTAATAGAAAGATCAGCGGGCTTGAGTCTGCTTATGTGTTGCTATGGTTTCAAATCTTTCCTATTTAAAAAAAAAACAAACATATTTGTTAAGGATTTAAAATTCTTGGAAACATGAATGAACACAAAATTGCAAAATCAAGCATTCAGAAGGTAAGAGTGTCAGGAGTGACATTGCTTGTGGAGCTCTATCCTGTTGCATGTAAGCATTGGTAAGTCTTCACACATGAGCACATATTGCATTGCCTCAAATGTAGGTTGGTTGTTTAAGAGATTTGAATTAGGCTGTTACAAGAGAAGTTGGACTTTTTTCAGCCTATTAATGCAGTTTGTAGGCGTTTTAATGGACTTGAGTGGTACAGAAACCTTGGCCAAGACTAGAATTAGTCTTGGGCGTAATGTAGTGTTGGTTTTGCCTTCTACAGCCCTTTTTTAATGGTTATTTAACCTGCCAGTCCTTTGTTTTATATTCCTGACTGCCTGTATCCTAAGAATACCTGCACAAAACATTCTTATTTCTAATATTTCTTTATTTCTAACATTTATAATATTTCTTTATTTCTAACATTTCTTTATTTCCTTTCTCTCCGTTTTCCCCACCTGTGTTAAGTCTGCTTTCTTTTGGTGCAATAAACAGGGAAGAAACAGGAATATTCACAGTTAATTTAAAATGGAGCCATAGTGTAGCCACCAAAGTTTGCAATAAAGATGTTAAACAAAAATTCTCTTAATTAAAGTACTTCATCTAGTCTGATTTTCTGATTCTCTTTTTTCATGTCTCCTAATTTAATACCTTTCAGAAATCTGACAGAAATTTTGACACAGGTATCATGGTACTCTGGTGTCTCAGTGTTTAGTCCTTCGGACTTCTACAATGGTATAGTCATGTTAATCTTAGATGCTTGGAATCTGGGTTATTACATCATGATAAACAAATTGGAATGAAGGCTTTCTTTATCACCTCTCTGCAGTAATCTTTCCTGATTTGTGCACCAATACTATGCCTAACCAGAAAAGGAAGCAGGAAGTAAGCTCTTCCAATTTCAGCAAGAATGTATCTGAATTTGAGGTTCATATTCAGCTGCTGGTGGGGGAGGTGGGGTGATCATCTTAAATCAAATCAAATAATGGTAATGTGGAACCGGAAGCCAAGGTCATGCTGTCTTGCTGTCCTGCATGAGTGAAAAGCAAAAGCTGAGATTTGGCTGTAATGAGGTGGTTTTGATATGTTATGGTAGATACATAACTGGAGTTATTCTTTAGGCAATCAAGTGCAGGCTGGCTTTCATTGAGCCTTATAAAAGGGCAAATGAGTGGGACAGAGAAGCCAAGGAAAGATTTGAAGAAATGACTGAAGATAAACTTATGCTGTGTTCAGTTGTGGGTAAGTTATCAAGAGTGTATTAATTTATATATTATTAAATCGACTGAAATGTAGAAACATGCACTTTCATGTTTTAAATAGTATTTATTTGAAATGCGTATGTTCGTACTTGCGACAGGTAGCCTGCAGTGAGAATATCTAAACATGGACTAATTGGAGGAGACATAACAGATACAACTTCTGACAAAAGCTCTGTTTATGTCTTCTCTTATGGACCACATCAGCATTAGGTGATACAAGTATCTTGGTTTATTAAGATGGGCTTGTTTCCAAAAGTACTAGCTATCCTTGATGCTTCCTGACTTTATTGGTAGGTGGGAGTGTGATCACTGCTGCTCTAAAACATTGGCAGAAAAAAAAAATCGGAGAACAGATACATGCCTTTGTAGGATTTTTCTCAATACCATTTATTGTTAACATGCACCTAGTTGTTTTTCAACACCTGTGGAATGGTGGTTTGGAACCCATCTAATAAATGAAATTACATGTACTGGTTGGTTTCTTTGTTCAAAAATATTTTGTAATTATTGGTGTATTTTAAGTTAATTTTATAGATATGTGCAAAGCTAAGCCTCTACATATTGTTGATGTTCAGAATCAATTCTTTCATAAATCAAATGTAATTTTACAAACTTCTGTCTTTTGGTACCATTTACTGCGCCTCCAAAACCATAAATAGTCTGTATACTGTCATTAATTGGCGCTAACTATGTTTATATTATTCATTCACAGAAGTTTTGGATAATAACATCTTATCTGTTGAACTCTTCAACTTCTTCTCTGCTGTTCATGGAAGAAGGTTTAGCATTAACTGCCAGCTAGTTAAAGAAGACCTAGCATCCTACATACCTGGGTAAATAAATGGTGCATAACTTAAAGTATTTGGAAATACTGAATTAGTATAACAAAATTACTGGCTTTAGTATGTCAACTCCAGTGGCTGGAATTTACCACATTTGTGATCAATTCATTACAAATCTCATTCATCAGCTAACATAACTTAAGAGTGTAACCTGCAGTTTGGCGTGGTTGAATTCTCAAACTAAATCTTGACTAACATGTATTGAAGTTGTAATTGATTCAACAGTCAGAGATTAAATCTTTGCATCATACTTTAGTGTGCTGAAGTGCCAATTCTTCCTAAACTGGTTATCATTAAGGTTCCCATTCTCTTGTAGTAAGAAAAGAAATAAGGCTTTTGAGTGCTTAACCTGCACATAAGGCAAGTCATCTGTTTAAAAGGTCTGTTATTAGAAAGCAAATGTTCAGACAACTAGCTATGGCAGTGATGCACAGAAGAGTTGGGAAGGCTGCTGCAGGAGCTGCAGCTGATAAGGAAATAACACTGCTGCATTTAATTTGTTGGCTTCCTAAAGACATAATCCATGGGCTGTATTCATGAAAATCAATAATCCTTCATTAGTAATTTTTGATACTGATGAAAATAAAAAGTTAGTGAAATAGGAAGTTTTGATTCCAAAAATGGAATTCCCAAATTTGCTTTTTTTCAGGAGGAAGCAAATAAGTGGATTTTCATCTCTTAGCTCAGAAATATAACTAAATCCTGGTAACACTTTTCTTGTACTGGTCAGAATTTTTAGTAAGGTTTTTGTAAAGTTAAGCAGCTTTATTTAAACATGAACAAGTGAATTGTTTTGTTACTGAGGTATTTTGTTGTGTTGCAGCTATACTTAGATGCCTGCTTATGGCCTACAAACAAGTGGGTATATTACTTTAATATAAGTTGCTGTGCAACACATAACTTTACTAATGTGAATTTTTCAGTTGCTCACTCCCTCTTCAGTTGGACTGAGGAGAAAATAGAAGAAACAGGAGCAAGAAAACTCATGGGTCGAAATAAAGACAGGGAAATCCCATACCAAGTACTGTTGTGGGCAAAACAGACTTAATATAACTTAATTTATTACTGATTAGCATAAATATTGAATTTCCAATTCAGGCATTGGGACACAAAAGACTAACATCTGTAGCACCCCTTTCCCAGGCTCAAGTTTACTCCAAACACCTCTCCTACCCTCCGGTTACACTCCATCCCTGCAGTGAGCAGTGCAGCGGGCTGAGGTCAGGAGGCAGCAATTTCTCCCTGCTGTTCCCTCCTTATTGCTCTTTTCTTCCTGTGCTCCAGCATGGGCCCTTCATGGGCCTCAGTCCCTTCAGGAACGTGCCTCATCCCCTGCAAAATGCCTTCTGCTCGTCTGACCTCCGTGTTCCTTACATTATTTCTCTTCTGTTCCCTCCTTTTCCTGGTGTTTCCTGTTCTTCATTAAATTAGAGGTGCCGCCAGCTTCACTGAAGGGCTCAGCCATGTCCTGTGGGGGGTCTGTTGCAGAGATAGCTGAAACAGGCTGTCCCCACCATGGGGCAGCAGCACCTGGCTTCTTCTCTCAGGTCACTGCTGCAGCCCCTCTCCCCAGCTACCAACACCTTGCTCTTTACACCCAGTGCAGCATCTTGTAGTTGGAATGATGTTTCTGTTTGGGGCAGGGGTAAAGGTGTTGTTTTGGGGGGCCTTTGGGGATTCTTGGCTTGCTTTGTTTTCCTGTGGGCGTAGGTCTCTAGCCCTCTAGAGCTCATTTGTCACACTTTCTCGCTGAATTTCCCATTTGTGAAGATGGATGTCTGCAAAAACTCAAGAGACCAGTGAATAATTTAAACCTACTTTAGGTCATTTAGAATCACATTTGGGTTAGGATTACTTTTCAGTGTTTAATGCTGTTGAGGGGTACCCAGGCTAGCTCTAAACTAGTATAAGGCAATGTGAGCAGGAGAGCACAGTGTTCCAGTGAAGCTGAACAATGTCAAGCAAACATTGGTAACCCTACTCTTGCATTGGGATAGGAAGTAGTCCATACAGAATTCCAGGGCAAAACCTGGGAGTCTGAAGTTCATTACAAATGGATTGTTTCTTCTGATGGATCCACAATGGTAATGCTATACTGGAGTAACTAGAGTGGGGGTTCTAAGACACGGACTGTATATTTCACTTGGGAGAACTCTCCCTGGCAGGTTGTTTCTGTCCATTTTGTAGCTCAGACTAGTTGCATGCAAGGTAAGCATATTTATAAGCTATGGTGTTCATTTTTTTCCTGGTTCTACAAGTTAGCTGTTTTACCCAGCAATTTCAAAATACCTACATCAGGAAAGTTTGCAAAAGTAATTATGTAGCGGTATATAGTGGATGATTCAATACTTCATGAAATCTTCTCTGTGACAGAGCAGTTTGTTTCCTTCCCGTGAACGAAAAGACAGCTGGTAAATTTCTGAAACCAGAAAAGAGTTTCTCCCTGGAAGCCCAGAAATGGCCAGCAGTTAAGCTTATGCTTGCTGTCTCCTTTACTCAGTGATTACAAGAGGCCAGTTCTTTGGCATTAACAGTTGTTTTTTCAAGCTGCGATCTCTTACGTCTCTAGCTGGCACGATTCATAATAGAGTTGTACTAAGCTGGACTGTTGCTCAAAATACATAGCAGCCAACTCTTGGTTGCTGTTGGGCTTTATCCGTATCCAGTTCACACAATTTAGACAGATTTTCATCAAGGTAATATTACAACCATACTTCATTCAGTGCTCTACTTTGGAAAGTGCTAGCTCCAGTTGCGTTGTATTTGTAAAGGTAAATGTTTCACTAAAGTTAATACTCTTAACTTCTGAAAGGAATATTTATACATCTTAGAAGTTGAATGTTGCAGCTTTTACTCAGAGGCCACATTGATTTCCAGAAGCATCATATTAGTAATTTGATGCCTTTTAAGCTAGACACAAACATTAATGTTGAGCAGCCCATTTATGGCAGGCTTGCTTTTCTGCTGGCAGTCTGTATTGCATAGTGCTTTCACCTGTCAGTAGAATGCGCAAGGGTATCTTCTGAAGGAGAATAAAAATAAGTTACTATCGTGAGTGTTTCAGAGGTAGTGTTTAGAAATGTTTTGTCTTTCATTGGGATTTTTTCCTGCTTTTCAAAGTTATTCATTATTCTCCACCCTTTATGTTGAGTTATTCCTGTCATAGTGAAGTGTGATTATTGAGCTCTTTTTCACTTTGCTTAAAATGCGTTTAAACTTTCCATTCTAATTACTTTATGCTTTTTACAGGTACACTGAAAGTACTGCTGTGACACCCAATGAAATCTGGGATGTTCCTATAGAAGAAATTGCTGAAACCTCGGGAGCTTTAAATCCTATAGACATGGAACCTGTGGATGAAGGAGATTTCAAATCACTCTTTAAGAAAGAGCTGCAAATGAGAATTAGTCATGTTGTGTCTCCTAGTAAAATTTTTGTACAGTGGCTGTCATCAGAAAGTAAACTGAAAAGGTACTAAAATTCAAAGAACTCTTCTCGAGTTATTACAAACCAGTGAAGTATAGCTAGAACAAACTCTGATTAGCATTGCATTTGGCACTGGGTACTCTTCTGAATGCTGTTAACTTAACTTGCTTTGAGGAAAGTATAGGAACAGAAGACAGATTTGCACTATGTTGTAGTTTATTAAATATTTGTGATTCCAAATCAAATACATGATCTAACTCCTATTTCAAATCAGTTTTAATGTAGTAAGTATTGGGGCTGGACAAATGCAACACTGTCCAGAAAGAATAAATCTTTCTGCTCCTTGTTTGATCCTCCCCATTCCTTTGTTAGAAATCTTGTTAAATAATACCAGTATTATTACATGACCAAAGTCATAGAACCTCAGTCAAGTTATTTCTTTCAACATGATTCTAATATGCTGTTAGGAAAGTTTTAAGGGAATTTCTAGATATAGTGTATCAACCTTTCTTTTGGTAGATGTTTAGGTAATAGTGCGTACTGTTTGAATACAGTTGAATAGAAATATTATTGCTTAGTACAGGTTGCTTATTTGCAACTATTTCTCCTTTCTTTCATCTTTTTACTTTCTTGCATGTAGCTACCTAGAGTCCCATTGAATTAGTCATGACACTAAATGAGTACCGCACTCTCAAGTTTTTGAGACAAAATAGTGCATCTTTCAAATAGTGCTATACAAAAGGGATTAATTCTGTTATTTAAGAAAATGTGATAGTTTTACAGAATTTTAGTGCAATTGCATGTATTTTGAAGCTCCATTTCATGTATTTCTAACATGTCGTGAAGAAAAACTGCAATACTATGTGTCTGTTAAACAGTTACTAAAACTTTACGGTATGCTAGTTAGCACTAATGGACTAAATAAGCCCTTTATTCACTGGATAAAATTTTACCACTAGAAAAGTGTTTTTTTGAATGTTAGTTTACAGGAGAAGATGGCTACCATCTACAAAGACTCCCAGCCACAGTCTGTGAAGTGGGAAAGTAGTATGCACTGTGCTGTTTACATACATGATTTGAAACAGTGGCAAAGAGGTCAAATAAGCAGGATTGTCTCTGAAACAAGTGCAGAGGTAAGCCTGTTATCATGAGAGGGTTTATGCTTTTATTTCTGAAGTTTATAAGCATTCATTGATAAAAATAATGTCAAATCTTTGCTTCTTACTTCTGTGTTAGTATTTTCTCATATATACTTTTGCTTTTGTTGAGAGTTACGTTGTACATTGCTGCTGATAAGATTACTGTCTCATCAAAGCTCAGATACCTTTAGCAGGGAACCTGGTAGTTGAGGAAGGCTCTTGAGGTTGACTTTGTGTATGTTTACACTGTAGTTTACAACATAGGCTATAGCTTGGGAATCTTGTGTGAACAGTTTACCTTAGATTCAGAAGCTGTGTGAACCTCAGGGTCACATTAATTCAAATTTAATGATCCTTGCTAAAAGGTGGAGCCAGTTGATCTGAGTGTACCACCACAGGAACACGTAGCCATGCTGTTGCTTGATCCCTAAACTGATGGTGGTGTACTGTGCCATGTAGTTGTAACATTTTCCACAGTAATTTCTCACATAGTGATGCTTTAAACAGGTGGTTTGTTGCATTCATTTGAAAAAGAGTAAGGAGCATGAGACGTAAGCATGGCTTTTTAATCATACAGATAATCCAGGACTGGATCACCATTGGTTCTCTCTACCATCATCAGATTATGGCTGTGGGTCTTGTCAGTAGGAAGCAGAAGTGGAATTTTCTATACTTCTGGTTTTCATCATGTTCTTTCCTAAGGCTAGGAGCCCTCAAACAGCTGTTTAACCGTGTTAGAGTAAAAAGCAAGAGGTGGAGGGGAGCTATTTCAGCGTTTACAGGTCTACAAATTTAAATGCACCAACATAACTGAAGCAGGAGAAAAGAAATTTTCGTATTCAAGTGACAGCCTCTGTAAAGTTATTTAACCCTCTTTGAGTGCACTCATGTCTTTTGTTCTCTCCGTATGTACACTGTGGTAGTCATTTGTGTTGGGTGATGGAGTACTTCAGTGCAAATTTGTTGATTCCTCGTAATGTTTGTTTGAGTTTTGTTTACCTGTTCAGGCATGCTTTGAATTATCATTTGTTACAGATAACACTAAGAGGGCTCTTCCCACCCCACTCCCGTGTCGTTGTGTTTCTTGTCTGTAACAGGTACTACTTTATGATTCTGGAGCTGAAAAAACAGTGGATATAAGCTCTCTAAGACAACTTGAGGAAAATCTAAAGATAATTAGGACATTAGCAGTAGAATGTTCCTTGACAGATATAAGGTAGCCTTTCCCTTGTAGTGAACAGCAGTATTAGAAACCTAATAATGACATAATATAATATTTTCTTGTGTTAGCACTGATTATCTAAGAGTCGGATGTGGTTTGCTTTTTGAATAAAGAAAAAATGGGAAGGTGGCTGTGATTTGTTTTATAAAGGTGTTTGGTTTTTTTTCCTAAGGGTTATGCTGCATACCAGTAAAGCAGAAACTGTGTTATAGAAAGAAAGAATATTTATAGGGTGAATGGAGAGATGACACAGGTTTTTCTTATTTCACTGAATGCTTTTTTTCCTTGGCTCAGAATTTAAGATGAATTAGATCTCATGAAAACGCACAGGAGGTCTCTGCCTTCTAGACTGTAGAAAAGAGGGAGAACAGGGGTATTCTCTGTGCATTTCTTCGTGTGTTGTCTATACTGTGAAGAAAAAAATAATCGTTTGTAATACTCATTCCCTGAATGAATATAAAAAGCCTAATTTGCAGATAAAGTACGGATTTCCCTTTGTTCAGTTAAGACATGTATCATACTTTTGGAATTCATGATCCTCCTCAGTTTTGAAGTTTTGGGGAGGGTTTGTGGTTAAGATCAGGACATGCCAACTTCTCTTGTAGTAAAGGAATTTATAATTTGTTCTGTTAGGCCAACAGGTGGAAGCATGCAGTGGACAGCAACAGTCTGTGAATTTTTATCCGATTACCTAAATGGAACACAAGTGAAAATAATCATACAGGTTTGTAATCAAAACCAGAGGTAGTTGCAAAATTTCTGTCAGGTTGTCTGTTACTTTAATTTTTTTCTGAATATTTTCACTGTTCAAAAAACCCCTGAGTGGAGCTTGCTTAGCTTGCTGTTTGCTGCAGGGGAAAAGATGCTTTTTCTTTTTTCTGCTTTAGTTTTGTTATTCACAGGAGCATCAGAGCAGTTTGGCTACCCAGTATGGAAAGAACACAGTCTTAGATATATTTAGTTACTGAAGAGTAGTATTTACATTTTTTGAATCACTGGATGCTCTTATGGACAGATGAATAAGATGCTGATGTTCTTGGTGAAAATAGTTTCAGCAGCTACTATAGTGGTTTTAAGGCCTCAGAAACTGAAAGAATGAGTCTGGTGCTGTACGGTCATTAGTAATTGATTTCTTCCAGTGGTAAAAATACCCTGAATTATTATGAGGGTTTGATTTGTTTAGTGCCCGTTGGCAGTTGCCAGTGAGATTTTACAGTGTGTCCAGAAATAAAAACACCAATGAGGAAAATTATTTATGAGTCAGTTTAAAGCTCGTGCTAGAGAAAAACAATTATTTCTCAGTTCATTCTAATAAAACAGCTAAGAGAAGAAGCAAGCTTTTACTCTATTACCTTTTGTAATGTCATGTTTAAAACAGTTGGTAAAATGATGGGAACTGTGACATGGATTAAATAAATTTTGTCTTCTGATGTGGGCATCAGTTGTTCAACAACATCTGATTTGCAGTCAGTACCAATAAACTGAAAAATATGCCTGCGGTTTAGAGGAAATGCGTGTTGAAATGTAATTTTTTTCCCAGGAAAGTGATGTGGCTTGTGCATTGCCTGTGAAGATTCTTTGCAAAGATGAAACAGGACAATGGATTGATATTTCAGAACACCTTATCAAAAAGGGCTTGGCTTTTAGAAACAGAAGGTTTGGATACTTTTCTTTTTATATTCTTTCAGACTCTCGTATTCATATCATGATAAGCTAGTAAGTTAAACAAAAATTTGGATTGTCCTCTACAGCATCTGTAGCAACAGAACTCCATCTTCAGTGAACTTTTTTCAGTGTAACATTATTAGTTGTATCCAGTACACGTTTCAGTTCTCGAAGTTCGTAGATGAGATGACTGACTGTATTTTAATGAGCATTTGCCATCTTTCTGTGTTTGGTTTTTAATTCTATTACTTTATTCTTTTGCACTTTTCAAGTTGTTTATCAGTTAATAAGTTGATATGATTTGATTTGCATCTGCTAGAACTGATAAAGCTGATGTGGCTTGCACAGTCTCCAAGGAACATCTTAAAGTACAATTAGAGCAAGAGAACACTCGACTGGATGGTTGTAATTCAGAAACTGCACAGGCAAAAAAAGACGTTGCTCCAGAGGAAAACATCACTGTTTCAGAGAGTGAACAAAAATCATGCGAAACATATAAGGCACTGCTTCATTCAGGAATGGATGAAATATATACATTCCCCGTTATACCCGAAGCAAGAATTTTTCAAGCTGTAGTAAGTTGCGTTGGACATGATGGAACTATTTATATAATACCAAAATCACTTGGTAAGAAGAAAATAGGTTTATGTCTATAAATGTGATAGCTTTGGTATATCAGACTCTTACCAGACGGGGGGGGAGCTCCCACAGCTGCCTGGCGGAGGGGGACCCAGGTGGCACCCTGTCCATATCCCATCCACATCAGCTCTCTTCTCCTAACGCCTCCCAGGACACCCAAATGCCCCCGTGCTTGATGGGTGGGTCTTCTGCCTCTCTTCTCTAGGCAGCATTGGGAGTGCGTTATTTTATAATGTTGAGATTATGATACATTTACTAATAATAATGAAGATGGAACTCTGTAGATTCTCAGGAGTTAACCTGATTGTCAAATATTACTTGATTTTTTTCCTTCAGTGTGAGCTCAGTACCCAGTTTTCTTGAGCTCTTCGTTTGTCCTGTGATAGATTCTGTATCTCAATACTTTCTAGTTGTACTGTTTGAAAGAGGAACACTTTCATCCGACAGATGCAGTTTCAGTCTTTAGTACCGTGATAATATATTACACTTTAGAGAAATGTTTCTGTATGAGAACTTTATTATTTTTTTTTTACTCTACGAATACATTTAACTATTATATCATAAAACTTTGAAATTTGAAGTACGGTAACCTCACTTGCCCAAGGCTATTCTTGCAGTTGTTGCTGGAGACTGTACCCATAGCAGAAGAGGGTCTTCTGGACATGTTTTGTGTCGTTTCATGGTGTCCTACTGCTTTCTCTGGGAATTGCTTTTCTTGTTCATGGAGAGGCTCTTGTATTATTGTTGCCAAGGTGTCAGTTGCAAAATTTAGAGACACTTCTTCTCTGAGTTTAGAATCCAGAATTACTAATGGCTTCATAGTTGGAAATGCAGCTTACTTTTTGTTTAAGTAGTAACTTGTTTGCACATATTAGAAGTTGGACATGCATATTGTGTCAGTGTTGGAAAACATTTTTGGAGCACCATGTGTATTTTATGTTTATATACACCTTTGTCTGAATCTGCTGGGTTTTAGTGATTGAAATAATATGTACTAATACATTATAGACTATTTTGAATTTTATTCCTCCTTCCCCCTCTCCTCCCCTTTTCCCCCAGAAGTTGAACTAAGCAAATTGATGACTGAAATACAAAGTAACTTCAAATGCCTTGGTCTTCTGGAACCCTACTGCTGGAAAAGGGGAGAAGCTTGTGTTGTAAGAGGATCAGATATGATGTGGTATCGAGGTAAAGTTGTAGAACTTGGTGGTGGTACTCTCCAGGTAAGTTTGATTGTATGCCATGTGTGTGCATGAACATGTGCACTTGTATGT